GAAAGGAAGAAAGAAAGAAAGAAAGAAAGAAAGAAAGAAAGAAAGAAAGAAAGAAAGAAAGAAAGAAAGAAAGAAAGAAAGAAAGTTAGTTTTAAAAAAAAAAGTTTCTTTAAATTACATTTACCTATTTATTTTGGTGTGGGGCCCGTGTGTACCATGTCCTACATGTGGAGATCAGAGGACAACTAGCAGAAGTTGGTTCTCTAATTCCACTGTGTAGGTTCTGGAAATTGAACCCAGGCCATCAGACTTGTCAGCAACAAGTCATTTTTCTGGCTCATGATTAAACTACTTTTTCAGACAGGGTCTCTCTACATAACCCTGGCTGTCCTGGAACTCACTGTGTGAACCAGGCTGGCCTCAAACTCACAGAGATCTGCTTGCCTCTACCTCCTGAGTGCTGAGTTTGAAGGCGTGTGTCATCAGGTCTGGCTTATTTTTTTTTTTTTTTTGATATAGTTTTACTGTAGTTTTGTTGGTGTTCTGGCTAAAGTCATCAGAAAGGAGGGAACCCTAATTGAGAAAATGCCTCCATAAGGTCAGGCTGTAAGCAACCCTGTAAGGCATTTTTTAAATCAGTGATTGATCGGAGAGGGCCCAGCCCATTGTGAATGGGGCCACTCCTGGGCAGGTGATGGTCCTGGGTTCTATAAGAAAGGCTGTGGTCTACAAAGTGAGTTCCAGGACAGCCAGGACTATTAACACAGAGAAACCCTGTCTCAAGAAAAGAAAAGAAAAAGGGGGGAAAAAAAAAGAAAGATTAAAAAAAGAAAAGAAAGCAGGCTAAGGAAACCAGGGATGGATTATGGATGCGAAAGAATAAGCCAAATGAACCTTTTCTTCCCCAGCTTGCTTTTGGTCATGGTGTTTAATCACAGCAATAGAAACCCTCACTAAGACACTGGCCTAGAATTCAATTTGTAGTCTAAGCTGGCCTGGAATTTCAGGACCCTCCTGTCTCTGCTTCCTGAATGAGAAATTACAGATTAGCTGCTGCTGGAAGAACCAGCCTTCAGCAGCTCAGGAACTGAAGGACGCACACACACAGACACACACACACACACACACACACACACACAGACACACACACACACACACACACGTGTCAGGATCTCACCTACGTAATACATTTTACGTATTACAAGTGAAAAACAAATTATCCCCAAGAACTCACATACATCCATGTCCAAGCAACTTGTTATAAACTAGCAAAGTTTAAGCAAGCAAGGTACTTTTCTCAGCCAGGTCTTGGAAAAAGTCAATCACTATTATTCTAAGTACCAGTGACACCCAGTGAGGGTCTAGAAACCCCCTGAGAGTCTTTATACAACTCATAGATTGTGAGGGGTGTGTTGCTGGCAAGGGAACTAGGCAGAGGTAGTCCCTGGGCGCTGCCTCTCCAAGGCTCACTCTGGAGTGGCTTTGCTGACCCCTAGCTGTGTTCCATGTGGGAGCCCCCAGAAGTTTCCTTGTGAGATCTGAGTTTGCCTGACACAGCAGAGCCACATAAGGGGATGATTTGACCACGGGCAAGGTCGCCAGGTGGTTGGAAGGGTCTGCACTTGGCTGTGCCTGGGGGTGGTCTTTTGCTCCTCTGCTTGGCATTCCTGTAAAAGCCCTTTGGCAGAGACAGTCAGGGCCTCATGGATAAGGACCCAGGCCCTCTTGAGGCTCTTCTGTGTTTCTGTCTGTCTCTCTCTTCAGCTATATTTCTATCTAATATTTCCTGCTGCTCCTACTCAATAGTACCCTGGGGTAAAGTGGGGATGGGATGGCCCCCCACAGTTCCATGAGTTCCAGTGCTGTGTGTTGGTCCCCTCGAATGGCCCCTGACAATCTGGCATGACAACCATCCATCCAGCCTTAGCTAGTCACTTTCAACTCCGTGTCCCAGTAAACTGCCATTTACAGAGCCTGAACTTACATAGTTGGGTTACAGATTGAGATTCTGCCTCAGAATTCAAAAGAAAAAGAAAAACAAAACGAAAGTGTAGCTGAAATTTTTCTGTGTCCACCCCAGCTCCTGCAGCTGCTCAGACCCAAGTAAACACACAGAGGCTTATATTAATTAAAACTGTTTGGCCATTTGCTCAGGCTAACTATTGACTAGCTCTTACACTTAAATTAACCCATAATTCTTATTTATGTTTAGCCATGTGGCTTGGTACCTTTTCTCAGTTCTGCCTTCACATCTTTCTTCCTCTGTGTCTGGCTGGTGACTCCTGACTCAGCCTTCCTCTTCCCAGAATTCTATTCTCTTCTCTTGTCCCGCCTATACTTCCTGCCTGGCTACTGGCCAATCAGCACTTTATTTATTAACCAATTAGAGCATCACATTCACAGCATACAGGGTGATATCCACAGCATGAAAGCAGTAGCTCTTACTCCATAGTTTTATTGTGAAGGATAGATAGTATAGGTATGAAATGTTCACTTGAGTAGATTATAGACCACCAAGAATACAAGGCCAGTGAAAAGTCCTTTATTTCCTAGGGCCTTTCATACCAGAAAGAACTCTCTACCTGAGATGAAACAGGGTGTGTTTCTAAAGTCCAGATCACAATTACATCACATCAGAGGCATGGGAGGGATGTCCGTGGGGAGGAAGGGTCAGTTTGTTAAAACAGTTTGTTTTATGTTGTAAAACAATGACCCTCCGGAAGCTACATGAGAACGTTCTGCTCAGCAGGATGTGGTGCTGACGGTGCTGGGGAGCAGTTAGATAAGTCAGATTAGCTAGGACAAAATGGAGTCACTTTGGGCAGTTCAGCTAAAGATATTAGTGTGTGGGCTGTAGAGGTGACTCAGTTGTTAAGAGCACTTGCTGTTCTTGCAGAGGACCCACGTTCACAACCATTTGTAACTCCAGTTCCAGGGGATTCGACTTCTGACCTCAGGCACTAGACACACACATGGTACATATACATGTACACAGGCAAAATACTCAAATAAAATTTAAAAGTAAAATGTAGTAAAGTGATGGGTAGTGGTGGTGCACACCTTTAAGCCCAGCACTCTGGAGGCAGAGGCAGGTGAATCTCCGTGAGTCTGAGGCCAGCCTGGTCTACAGAATAAGTTCTAGGATAGCTAGGGCTACACAGTGAAACCCTGTCTCAAAAAACAAACAAACATATATATAGTAAAGCTATCAGGATGTACTGAGCACAGAGTAAGAACTGAGATATTATGCCTTGTATTTTTTCTCATGCTCTAATTGGCCTTATATTTTAGTAACGCTAAGTTTTTGCCAGGTAACAAGTTTCCCTCTTTGCTTCTGTGGCTTAGGAACGTGGGGTTGGTTTAGCTGGGTGCCTTGGTCAAAACACTGGCAAGGGAGTAGTACTGCAGCTGTTGGAAGATGTGATTGAAGTTGCTCTTCAGATGTTGACAACTCACTGGCCTGATAGCAGAGGCCTTGGCTCCTGTCAGCTATTGTCAGGGGACCTGTGATCCCAGTGACTGAGCTCTCCAAATCTCTCTGCTGTGCTGGAGTCTCCTGATGATCTATCTGCCTTTAGCTCTCCTCAGGGTAAGTAGCCCGACAGAGAATCCAAAAAGGACTGGGGCAGTGGCTCAGTGGTTCACACTGGCTGTTCTCCTAGGAGACCTGGGTTCCAATCCCAGCCCCCACATGGCAGTTACAATTATTTGTAGCTCCAATTCCAGGGGGTCTGATGCCCTCCTCTGGCCTCTGCAGGTATCAGGCATGCATGTGATACACAGTTATACATGCAGGTACTCACTTGTACTCATTAAATAAGTTTAAAAAGTTCAAATCTCTTCTGAGATTCATGCATTCTCTTAACTGTGATCCCCTGTAAGTCAGAATCAAAAAGCAGATCACATACTTCCAACATTCAGTGGCACAGGATCTACATTACCATCCCAAAACACAGGAAAGGGAGCATAGTGAGGAGATATGGGACCAAGCAAGATGGAAAACAAGCTGGGCAAACTCCATACTCTGCATCTCCATGTCTGATGTCAAAGCACTCTTCAGATCTCCAACTCTTTCAGCTTTGTTGACTGCAACACACTTCTCTCTCTTGGGCTGGTTCCACTTGCTGTTAGCAGCTTTTCTCGGCAGGTATCCCATGGCTCTGGCATCTCCAACATCTTGGGGTCTCCAACCCAATCCAAGCTTCAACTTCATAGCTTCACAAAATGGCCTCTCTAGGCCTTCATTCAGGGACACCCCTGACACATGTCTGGCCTCATCAGCCTTCCTTAGTCGCCGAGGCAAATTCCACAACCCTTCTGTCCTTAACTCTAAAGCCAGAACCACATGGCCAAAGTGTCAGCCTCTGCGTTCTGAGTGCTGGAATTAAAGGGTTTGGCCATGTGGTTCTGGCTTTAGAGAGGCCATGATCATGGCAACTCCTATAAAGGAAAAACGTTTGATTAGGTGGCTTACGATTCAGTATTTTTATTTTATGTGCATTGGTGTTTTTGCCTTCATATATGTCTGGGTGAGGGTGTTAGGTCCCCTGGAACTGGAGTTACAGACAGCTGTGAGCCACCATGTGGTTGTTGGGAATTGAACCTAGGTCCTCTGGAAAAGCAGTCAGTGCTCTTAACTGCTGAGCCATCTCTCCAGCCCCTGGATGCTACTTTTTTTTGAAACAACGTTATTATGTAGCTTAGATGATCTCCATCTTTGGATTCTCCTGCCTCTGCTTCTAGGGTTATATATAGCAATATGGGCATATACCACCATTCCCAGCTCCATGTCATTTCTTTTTTTAGTTTTTTTTTTTTTAGGGGAGGGATTGTTTGTTTTGTTTGTAATAGGGTCTCTTTATTAGGTAGTTCTAGCTGTCTTGGAACTCACAGGCATCCACCTGCCTCTGCCTCCCAAGGCCTAGGACTAAAGGTGTGCATGCACCACCTTTTAGCTTTGGGTTTTTTTGTTTTTTTTTTTTCCTTTTTTAGTTTGCCCCGGGAGATTATTTCCAGGAGCTTTGTTGGATCAGAATCCTTAGGTACTCCAGATCCCTGTGCACAGAGAGTTGGCATAAACACCCACACATCCTTCCTTCCCTTCAAATCATTTCTAGCTTGTGCTACCTAATACAGTATAAACACTAATGTAAATAGTTGTATCATGTACTGTTCTGGGAATGACAGGGGAAAGTCCATATATTTTTAGCACAGACATGGTTTTTTTTTCCTCTGAATATTTTCAGTCCATGGTTGGTTAAATTTGCAGCTGCTGTCTGGTTTGAATGCTGTAATAATGTTCATAACTAATGGAATCTGCATATGCAGAACTCATAAATATGTAGGGCCAACTGTATATTTAGATTAAGGAACATTGAATTGCTTATTTTAAAAATTCTCTGTTCTCACTGTAGCACATGTGGTAGTCTCTGGTGCTCTAAGTTTATATGTCTCTTCCTGTCTTGGCTTCCCTGTAAGACAGCATGTGAAGCAAAGATTCTGTGGCTACCAAACTGGCTACCTTCCTCCATGTTACTTTAGCTCACAGGACTTCACTCAGGGATTGTTCCCTAACCTTGGCCAGAAAGAAATAGGTTCAGCCCTGGTTGAGGGGTGGGGTGGTGATTTTTTTTTCTGGGGTGGGGGCAGGTACTAGGGATTGAACCCCAGCCTTCTGACATTGTTAGGCAAGAGCTCTAACCACTGAGTTACCTGCCCAGCCCTTGAGTTTACGTTTTCTTTGTTTTTTATGTTTGTAGGTGGCCTGACTCAAGACCTAAAGGCTGCATCTGCCTGCTTTCTGATGGCCTGTGAGAAACCAGGAAAGAAGTCTGTGGAATCATGTCACAATGTTGGACTCCTGGCCCATGATGGACAGGTCAATGAGGATGGCCAGCCTGACCTGGGAAAGGCCAGGGACTACTACACCAGGGCCTGTGATGGTGGCTTTGCAGCCAGCTGCTTCAACCTCAGTGCCATGTTTCTACAGGGTGCCCCTGGCCTCCCCAAGGACATGGGTTTGGCATGTAAATATTCAATGAAGGCCTGTGACCTGGGCCACATCTGGGCCTGTGCCAATGCCAGCCGCATGTATAAACTGGGGGATGGTGTTGATAAGGACGAGGCCAAGGCTGAAATGCTGAAAAATCGGGCCCAGCAGCTGCACAAGGAACAGCAGAAAAACGTCCAGCCTTTAACGTTTGGGTAATGTGTGGCCCGTCCTCCCAAGCAACAGACAGCTTGACCCTGGCACCTCTCTGATGAGGCCCTTGGAGATAAGTCAGTGCCATCTGCGCCAGAGTGTCGCCTGCTGGGAGTGGCTGGAAGTGTGTTTTAGTAAATAATCCTTTGTGTGTATTCTGTGAAGACACCCACATTATGGGGGTTTTAATTTCTAAACTGGACCTCTGAAAAGTAGAAGCAAACTGTGGAGCCATAGCCTTTTGGGGTGGGAGACAAAGAGAAGTTGGGAAATTTAGCAACCACAGGCCTCAGAGAATCAGCCATCATTATCATTTTAGTCGGAAGATCTTGAAAATTAGAAAGTATCCTAATTTGCATAACAGAGGTCTTGAGGAGCTAAGAACAGCGGCAGTCACGACTGCCGCCCTCTGCCTTACGTAACCACGGTGTGGGCTCCTTGCCTTTCCAGTCAGACCTTAGACAGATTTATAGGGATCGGGAGCTTCTGTGCCACAGGAAAGCTGAAGGTAGTTAGGTTATGCCTTGCGGTGGCCAAAGAAGACAAGACCTAAGTGTCCTCTCTTCTCGATAAGAAATTTACAGTTAAAAATTAACCTCCTCAGCTACCTCTGCTCCTCAGGGGAAGACAGAGGACTCTTGAAGCAGCTCTGCCTAGGAATTTGTGAGAGGGATGGCACAAAGTTGTCCACTGAACAGAGCCTTTTTCTTTTCGGGGGTGGGGGTGGGGAGGGGTGTTCGAGACAGGGTTTCTCTGTGTAGCAGCCCTGGCTGTCCTGGAACTCACTCTGTAGACCAGGCTGGCCTTGAACTCACAGAGATCCGCCTGCCGCTGCCTCCCGAGTGCTGGGATTGAAGCTGTGAGCCACCGTCGCCCGGCTGCTGCTGTTTTGAGGAGGCCCTCCCTGTGCTGCCTGTGCTGGCCTTCTGCTCCCAGCCCTGCCTCAGCTAAGCCAGGCAGGACCGATCCTGTCAAACTGTCCAGATGAATGAACTGTTTCACTTGATTTATTTATCTGTCATGCTCTTGTGCTCCAGACCTTGGCAGGATGGAATGTGTTCATCATGGTGGCTGTGCCTTTTTCTTTTTTGCCTTTGTGTGTGTGCCTTTTTAATACTTTTTTCCCTTCTATTGTCTCTGTTGGTCACCAGGGGGCGAGCGTGTCCTTTTCCTCTGACAGCTGGACCACTGTAGCCATCACTACCTTGGTCTCCTTTCCGGTCTGGCAGCTAGCTGCTGTAGAAGGCAAGCTTGCCTTGAGCATTGTGAGCCCAGCCAGCTGCCCTCTCAAGCTGATACAGGGGAGGACCTGTCCTGAGTGGAGAGAGCGTTTAAAAGCCATCAAGTTTGTTTTTAGGATGTCTTGAAAATTGCATTTGGTGTGATTGGCTGCCATAGGCCAACACACATAGGAAAAGATACTAATCATGGGGGCTATGCATGAAAACCACATGAACTCTTCTGCTGTCCCGGGCCTGCACAGCGGAAGGAGGCAACTGAGTCCTGCAAGCTGTCCTCTGACCTCCATGCAGGAGTGCACACACAGTAAAAACAAGTGTGATAGGAATTACACAACAGTAGACAGTTGATGAAAAGAACTGAAAGCTGTGTGCGGTGGCTGGCACACTCGGGAGACAGACGGCCTGGTGTACACAGGAAGTTCCTAACCAGGAGAACCCACCAGAAGTGGCAAGTGCATGTGTTAGAGGGTCCTCTGCAGCGTGTCAGGAGGGTGCAAACTACACCGAGCACACTGCTGTGACTCTAGAGGCTGAAACACACCAAACGCAGGTGGGATTGTGGGGAGGCCAGGACTTGCCTCACTCATGAAAACAAAAGATGGCTCAGCCACTTGGGAAGACAGTTGATCAGTATTTAACAAAACTAAACGTACAGTGTCCTGGTGATCAGGCCTCTTTATATTTCCCCCGGGGAATTAGAAGTATACTCATGCAAAAACCAGCACCGGTGGTTTTCATAGCAGCCTTACTTATAATTGCCCAAACTCAGAAGCAACAAAGATGTCCTGTATGTAAATGATACATACATACAATGGACTGTCTAGTACTAAAAAGAAACGAGTTAGTCATAGGAGATGTAGAGGGTTATTACTGACGGAAAGGCCAGATCTGAAAGGGTTACATTCTTTTTTGTTTGTTTGTTTGCTTTTTGAGACAGGGTTTCTCTGTATAGCTTTGTGCCTTTCCTGGAATTCACTCTGTAGCCCAGGCTGGCCTCGAACTCACAGAGATCCTCCTGCCTGTGCCTCCTGAGTGCTGGGATCAAAGGTGTGCATCATCACTGCCTGGAGTTACATTTTTGATTCCAATTGTGTGATACTGGTGTCCTCAAAAAAAAAAAAGTGATAGAGTAAGTTAGAGCCTGGCAGTGTGGCTCAGCAGTGGAAGGCTGAGTTTCTGGGTTTTACAGGTTCCAGAGTACAGGAAAAGTTGAGGTGGCAGGCTGCAGAGATGGCTTAGTGTATAAGGGCACCCACTGCTCTTGCAGGGGACCTGAGTTTGGTTCCATCACTCACTTGATGGCTCAGAACCTTCTAACTCCAGCTCCAGGAGATCTCACACCCTCTTCTTCCCTTGGCAGGTAGTGGGCACGTACATGGTACACACACACACACACACACACACAAAAAAAAAAAAAAAAAAAAAAAAAAAAAAAACAAGAATCTAAAAATGTTCACATGGTGGGATGGTTAGAGAAGCGTTTTTAAGGTCATGAGGCCACTCTCTGTGGTTCTCATGATGGTGGATACAGGTCTTCAGCCATTTGTGCAAATTGGTAAACCGTGAAATAAGAGTGAACCCTAATGTAAGCGAGAACTTTGGGGACGAAGTGCACACGTAGGCTCATCATTTATAATGCACCTTCTGCTGAAGGTGTCAGGATGTCTCTCAAGGCTGACTCTTCATAGATAGGAAATTGCTGTATTGTCTCAGTTTTGCTGTGAACCAAAAGCTGTAAGAAAATGGATTCAGAATAGAACCACACTGAGATACTGCCTCCCACCCAGTAGGACCACTACTATTAAAATAAATGTCAAGTGTAGGGAAATGGGAGCCCTTACGCACTGTTGATGGGAATGTGAAAGTTTAGAAATAAACTGCATTTTTGTTTATGAAATCACTTGAAAAGATTTGTGGCTATCAACACAGCAGAGAAAATGCCTGGATTCTGGCTCTTACGGATGTGTACAGTTCTGGGTTAGTCAGAGGCAGACCAAGCCTATGCATTTGGAGCGCCTGACAATGAGAAGAATAGGAAATTTTAAATTAGCTCTGTGAGCCAGTAATTCCACTTCTGCTTACCTATCTGCAGGAGCTGGAAGCTGGGTCTCCAGGGACTTCTCTGTAGCCTGTGTTCATAGTAGCATCAGCCAAAGGTCAGTGACTGAGAAAAACAGGATGCTGTGCACAGTGGGGTGTAAGCAGCGTTGGGGTTTGCCTGCATGTGTGTCGACGTGAGAATGGCAGATCCCCTGGAACTGGAGTTACAGACAGTTGTGAGCTGCCATGTGGGTGCTGGGAATTGAACCAGGGTCCTCCGGAGGAGCAGCCAGTGCTCTTAACCACTGAACTGTCTCTCCAGCCCCTGAATTAACTCTTTTTAAAATTAAGAATTGGGACTGGAGAGATGGTTGAGAGCGCTTGCTCTGACAGAGGACCTGGGTTAGATTCCCGATGCCTACATAGTGCCTTACAATCATCCCTAACTGCAGCTCCAGAGCATCCAGTGCCCCCTTCTGACCTCCCCAGGCACACAGATGTGTGCACACATGGTGCATACATGTAGACAAACATACATATAAAAATACATTTTTAAAAAATGAGGAATTTGAGCCAGATGGTGGTGGTGCATGCCTTTAATCCCAGCATTGGGCGGCAGAGGCAGGTGGACAAGGCCAGCCTGGTCATAGAGTGAGTACAGGACAGCCAGGGCTACACAGGGAAACCCTGTCTTGGTCTTGAAAATGAAAACAAAACAACACATTTTATATATATCCTTTCAATTAGACAATGGCTTTGTGATTTTGAGGAGTTGGTTTACTTGACTGTTGGGTGCTTACTCTTTTGTGTGGAGTAGTTCCTGCCCAGGACCTGAGGCACCCATGTTATTAGATCACATCCTGAGATGGAGCTGGGAACAATAGCGAAGGTTAGCTGTCAAAATGTTACATTTCCAGCCAGATGTGGTGTAGACTTGTAATCCCTGCACTGGGGAGATGCAGGCAAGATGATTGAATTCCAAGCCAGCCCAGGCTGCATAATGAGGCCCTGTCTCAAGAGAAAAAAACACAAAAAAGATTCCAGCGTGGGACACATGGATGGTGTGGGGCCTGAGCTAAGGAACATGAGGTAAGGGAGGGCGGGAAAAAGGTTGAGGCAACCGGATAGGCAGAATTTAGAGTGCAGTCAAGCATGAATTTAAAGAGAAACATAAATTTTAGCTCGGGCAATTCCAAGGACAGTGGGAGTCATTCATAATGATTTGACGCTTGTTGGGCTTGAAGGGCTTGGAACAAGAAACAGCTGTTTGCTGCTTTAAAGATAAATATATATTTTAAAATAAGTTACATTTTTGGTTTGTTTTTTTGAATTTTTTTGTAAAGACTCTGTGTCTTGCACGTGTGCCCCATTCTGGATTAGTGAACAGACTAAACAGGGCATCTGACAAGGAATGAGACCAAAAAAAAAAAATTGTTTGAGGGCCTAAGACGTCTTGGTGGGTAAGGGTGCTTGCCACCCAAACCTGACAATCGGAGTTCAGTCCCCAGAACCCCCCTAAACATGGTGAAGGAAACCAACCTGGAATCTCCCTGTGTGTCTGTAGCATGCAGGCACCCGTACACACAATGATAGTGATGATAAAAATCTAAATACATTTTAGAAAGCTTCGGCTGCCAAGCTTTTGCAGCGTAGACCTTCCACTTCGAAGTCCACCTCATGGTTTGTGGGGGTTGTGAGGACCCAGACTGCAGGTTTTAGGTCCAAAGGGCATGTACTGGTTTCCACTCTTTGTTCTGCATTTTATTGACTCTCTGACCTTGGACGAGTTACCCAACCTTCTGTGTTGAGGTAGAGATAAGAGGGCCCTCTAATAGGTCCTTGGAAGGATTAAGTAATGGCCTTTATCACAGAATGGTGGACTTTAAAGACAGACTACAGTTAGATCATTGTTTCTTGCCACGCGGCGGCATTGTTAGCTCCCGTGGGAGTCCAGCTTCTAAAACAGGCTGTCATTTTACTATCAGGGGAGCCGGGGAGGAGGCTTTCCAGGGAGGAACCAGGGAGGGGGGTTTTGATGGCACAGAGCAGCTGCACGAGGTGGCCTGGGGCGGGGGACTTGGGGCCCCACCATCCTCTCCTTTTTCGGCTGCCTGAACAGGGAGGGTCCCTGAGAACTGCACCTGCCAGGGGCTCAGAGTGGAGACTATTCCCAGCTGTTGCCCCTTCACAGGCCTGGGGAGTGCCGATTGTATTACAGTGTGTTATCAGGCCTCCCTACTGTTTAAATGGGGAAGGCAATCCTCTGCCCAGCATATGCCTCCCCACCCCCATGCCAATTCCTGCCACTGTATTTAGCTCCATCTTGTTCCTTCCTTAGGCTTCTGCGTCAGGGAACTGCCCATAGTCCCTGCACTACCATCCAACAACAAAAGATGGTCGGCCACACATGTTAACTGTGGGGGTGGGGGGGTCTTCATTAACCACTGATAATCAGTACAGAATGTGTACATCCATCACACTGTGTACCTTGAATATATACATTTTTCATTTGTCAATTTATTAGGAGGGAAATAGAAGCCACAAAAATAGCCGGGCTGCCTATGCTGGGTTCTTTCCTGGAACCCTTTTCTCTTGCACCTCCCAGGCTGGAAGGCTGCACGTTCCTCCAGGCTGCAGGGGTGCAGTCTGCTCCCTCACGTAGCTTCCATCCATCACAGCCCTGATGACACATGCTGAGCTCTCTGTGTTTATGGTCTCTGCTCCTCAGAAGACTGAGTTCTTGGGGAGCAGGGGCTTGGGTCAGTTCTATTTCTACCCTGAGACCTGAGGGAGGCTGGGCACATCCCAGGCCTTCAGTGGCTGCTTGCTGAGAAGACTTGACAGTTTCCTCCACCAAGACAAATCAGACGTAGGCTCCTTCTCATACATAAAGCTCTGTGTGGTTCTTGGGGCTGTAAATGAACCACCCCCCAACCCCAGTCTGCTCTGCTCACATGGCTTAAACATACAGTAGATAAGATCAGCTCTGCTTTCACCGGGCTGTGAGCTAAACAACAAATTTTGAATTTTGAAATAATGAAGGGACAGGACATAGAATTGCCACCCTGGCATCTTAAAGCATGTGTTTGGTCATTTAATGCCAGCAGACCAATATTAATATCCTCTTGGCCAAAGAATTCTAAGTAGGCCACATATTCTTGGAATACTAAGAATAATTGAGGGAGGACTGAATGCAGGTGATGGATATGAGTTAGGAAAGATAATACAAAACTAATTACTGTTCTAGTTCTAACTCTGTCATGAATTTTGTTTTGTTTTTTGTTTTTTTGAGACAGGGTTTCTCTGTGTAGCTTTGCACCTTTCCTGGAACTCACTCTGTAGACTAGGCTGGCCTCGAACTCACAGAAATCCGCCTGCTTCTGCCTCCCGAGTGCTGGGATTAAAGGCGTGCACCACCACCACCCAGCTTGTTGGTTTTTTTTTGTTGTTGTTGTTTTTTGCTGGTAGATAAATGCATAAAATATATTCAGTACCAAAAGTGTAAATTTTAATGTGAAGTTCAGCAGCCGTTCTACATGCCAGTTCCACTGTGTAGAAATTACTGTGCTATGTAGACTTGGGGTCTGGTTAATGTTTTTTCTTTCTTTTGTTGTTTGTTCTTTGAGAAAGGTTTTCTCTGTGTAGCCCTGGCTGTCCTAGAACTCGATAGATCAGGCTTACTTCAAACTCACAGAGATCCGCCTGCCTCTGCCTCCCGAGTGCTGGGATTAAAGGCATGTGACACAACCTCCCAGTAATATGTGATGTTTTTATTTGCAAGTTTTTTTAAAAATTTTTGAAAATTATTTTATTGTTGTCATTTTTTTCTTGAGACAGAGTCTCCCTGCACAGTCCTGGCTGTCTTAGAATGCTCACTCTGTAGACAGGCTGAACTCGAACTCACACAGGATCTCCTGCTTCTGCCTCCCAAGTACTGGGATTAAAGGCATGCATCATACACCTAATAAAATTATTTTTTTTAAAATGTAATTGATGATCAAGCCAGGCATAGGGCAGACACCTTTAATCTCAGCACTCAGGAGGCAGAGACAGGTTGATCTCTGTGAGTTCCAGGGCAGCCAGCCCTGGGTAGAGAGACCCTGTCTTAAAAAAAAGAAAAGAATAATTGATGGTCTTTGTTCATCATAACTACTTGTTAACAGAGACCAAGAGCTCTGTCCTCTTTCAGTCCCTGAGGTTTTTATCTCTAGCATTACCTACTTCCCCTTCTCCCGGGGCATCTTGTAAACAGAGGGACTCTAGGGTCCACCTTGACCCAGGGAATGACAGCCTGGAGTTCAAACAAACAAACAAACAAACAAACAAACAAACAAACCCGAGGAGTCATGTGCACCCAGGCAAGGCGGCCTGTGCCAGGGACTGAAGTAGATCCTCCTTCGCTCGACACTGTGCCCTTTCTGCCTCCTAGCTCCACGGTCTCCGTATTTCTGGTTGTTGTTTTGGTTTTGAGGCACAATTTCATGTATCCCAGGCTGGCCTCAAATTCACTGTGCAGCCAGAGATGGCTTTGAATTCCTGATCTTCCTGCCTCCACCTCCAAGTGCCGAGTTTATAGACATGCACCACGACACCCAGTCTATGCAGTGGTGGGGACTGAACCCAAGACCTTCTGCATGCTACGCGAGCACTGCCAGCTGAGCCACATGCCTAGCCCAGCTGTAGCTTTTCAGACACAGCCACACTGCAACATCATGCTTCCTTGCTCCTTGGCATGAGCCTGCACAGCTAATAGTCTCAAAACTCAGCCCAAATGTTGCCTCCTGGAATGCTCAAGACGTGTGCCTCTCCATCTCTTTTCACAGGGTTCAGAACAGTGAAGTGCCTGGAGTAAGTGTCTGGAGCATGGATTACACTTTTTTGGTTTTTCGAGACAGGGTTTCTCTGTGTACTTTTGGTGCCTGTCCTGGATCTCGCTCTGTAGACCAAGCTGGCCTCAAACTCACAGAGATCCGCCTGCCTTTGCCTCCGGAGTGCTGGGATTAAAGGTGTGCGCCACCACCGCCCGGCAGGATTACACCTTTTCTACTCAATGTCATACATGTGTACTGAAGGGAAGGGATGGGAAAGAAAACTGGAGACAACTCCTATCTTCCAACAAGTTCACTGAGCATTGAAAGGGCAGCACTTTGAGAAATGCTGGATGTAGTAACAGGTGTTCCTAAACCAGCACCCAGGCAGGAGGACTGCTGTGAGGTTGAGGCCAATCTGACCTACACAGTTTAGGGCTAGCCTGGGATACACAGAAAGGAAAAAACAAACAAAAACCAAATCCTGTGTGTCCTCTCTGAGCCTGTTTCCCTCATCTCTAAAGTAGACGGTATCCACTTTCAGGTTAGTGTCAAGGTTAAAGGATTAAATGAGGTGCCCAGCTCAACGCCTGCCACTTCCTGATTTCTCCTGGAAGTGGAACCGGGCTTATTTCACACCCATCTAGAGAGCAGAAGTAGGCCCAGTGGACCGTAGCCTGGACACAGACCTCAGAGTGTGGAAACCCAGTAGAAAGAAGAACATTATGCTTGGCGGGATGGGAAACCTCCGTGAACTTCCGTGAACTTCCGGTCCCGCTGGAAGGTCAGGGCTGATGAAGAGGAAATGATTCTAGGTAAAATGTAGGAGGAAGGGGTGTGGAAAATCTGAAACACAGCGGACAGATGGGGCATCCGTGTCTGCCTTAGTCAGTGTTGCCTTGCTGCAACGAAGGACCCGGGACAGCTGACTTTATAAGAAAAGAGGTTGACTGAGCTCACAGTTCTGGAGGTTCAAAAATCTAAGTCACAGAAGAGACTCCGGGACAAGGGCAGCCCTCAGTTGTGTACCTCAGGTGCGAGAGCAAAGCGGCTGGAGTGTGTGTAGTCAGCAGGAGACTGATCTCAGGCTCCCCGCAAAGCGGGTGGGAAGGGCCAGGCTTGCTGCCTTTGTGGTAACCCCTTCTCTTCTTTAAAAAAGTGCTTATTCGTTTATTTATTCCTGTGTCTCTGTGTGCGTGATGTGGGTGTGGGTATGAGTGCCACGGTGCTCACATGGAGGCCCGGGGACTACTCGGTGGAGCTGGTTCTTTCCCAGCACAGAACTCAGGCTTGGGTAGCAAACACTGAGCAGGCTTGATGGCCACATTTCTCTTTTCATTATTTTGTGGTTGGTTTTGTTTTGAGACAGGGTCTTGCCAAATAGCCCAAGCTATTTATTAGTTATATTTATTTTTCCTTTCCTTTTTTTTTCTTTTCTTTTTTCTTTTCTTTTTTTTTTTTTTTTGTGTGTGTGTGTGTGTGTGTGTGTGTGTGTGTGTGTGTGTGTGTGTGTGTTGAGACAGGGTTTCTCTGTGTAGCCCTGGCTGTCCTCACTCTGTAGACCAGGCTGGCCTTGAACTCACAGAGATCCAATTGCTTCTGCCTTCCAAGTGCTGAGAGTCAAGGCATGCACCACCACCACCCAGCTTATATTTCTACTGCTGTGATAAAACACCTTTTATAAGGCAGCTCGTAAAAGAAAGCATGTACTGGGGCCTAGGGCCTATCTAGAAGGTTAGCTAGAATCCATGATGGTGGGGCAAAGGCACGGCATCAAGAGCATCTGAGAGCCCCCATCTCTCCAGCAGGAGCAGACAGCACAGTGAGAATGTTGGGAAGCTTTTAAAATCCCCAATCAGAGCCGGGCATTGGTGGCGCACCCCTTTAATCCCAGCACTCAGGAGGCAGAGGCAGGCAGATCTCTGTGAGTTGGAGGCCAGCCTGGTCTACAGAGCAAGTTCCAGGATGACCAGGGTTGTTACACAGAGAAACCCTGTCTCGAAAACACCTCCCACTCTACCCCTCAAAAAAATCCCAAGTCAGTTGCCAGTGACACACCTCCTAATCCTTTCCAAACAGCCAACCGGGGACCAAGGTTTCAGATGTATGAGCCTGTTGGGACGATTTCATTCAAACAACCACAGCTTACTATATTGCCGAGGCTAGCCTTGGATTAGTGAAATTCCTGTGGCGCTAGGATTACACACCACCAGCTATGTGACATTCTTCAGAACTACCACGTAGGCCAGGTGGTGGCGGCCCATGCCTTTAATCCCAACAGATCTCCGAGTTGAGGCCAGCCTGGTCTACAGAGTGAGTTCCAGAACAGTCAGGGCTACACAGAGGAACTCTGCCGTGGGAGGGTGGGGAGGAGAGTCGGGAGGAAGAATGAACTGCGAAGGGGGGTGAGGCTGGAAGGAAGACGCCCACATAAAGCACCTGCTGTCCAAACCTGAGGCCTGGAGGTCAGATCCTCAGAACCCAGGCAGAGCCAGGCGGGTGTGGTGGAGACAGGGGATCCCCAGAACTGGCAGACTAGCTAGACTGGCTCACATCGGCAAACTCTGGGTACAAGTCAGAGACCATGCCCCAGCATAGAAGGCAGAGAGTGATCAAGGAAGACACTTGCGGACAAACTCTGGCCTCCACTTGCACACCCATGTAAACATGGGGGCACATACATACACACTCCACACACATCTACACATGAGCAAAAGAAAAGAACTAAGCAGTTTCACAAGACTTACCTCATCCTCCACCCCATGGTGACCTAAACTTCTCCCTCAAGGCCCCTCCTCTCAAAGGCTCCCCTACCTCCTGCCAGCACCGCCCTGGGAACTGAGCTTTTAACATGTGAAGGGACACATGCACCACATTGCTCTCTGTTATTCATTCAACCAGCACTGAGGATGAATGCTGGGGACGCAGGGGCACTGAGAGCGTTTGCCACTTAGGAGCTCGTGGTCTCAACTGTGACCATCGTTTGAGTACAAACTATTCCAGTCCTCTTTGCAACCCTCCAAGGAGACTCCCATTCTCGACATTTTTTCAGACAGAGACCCTGAGGCTCAGCCAAAGTAGCTTCTAGGAACACAGACAGACCCCGTGAATATGGCAGCTGGGATTAGGATTTAGTCCCGACTCCATCCTTCCATTCAGATGTTGGAACCCAAACAGCACACACTTCATCTCTGAGTATAGAATAGATTTTAGGGAACATGAGGTAAAGGCGAAGGTCAGCTGCAGGAGGGACATGGTGTCTCCACAGCACACTGTGCTCCAGAGGCCTCTCAGCCTGGCCACAGGGAGGGCCCAGGAGAACAAACTGAGGTCAGATACTCCTCACCTGATCAGCAATCTGTCTGGGCCCGGATTCCCTGAGGGAACCTGAAACCAGCTGGGTTTCTTTGCTCCGGGAATAGCAGCTGACACTGCTCCTCAGTCGCTGATGGCCTCTGATCAGGTTCCCCGAGGCCTCGGCAGGCTCCAGACATCGTGGCAGCAAACTGTGATCACCTCCCCCCACCCAAAGGCAGGGTTTCTCTGTGTAGCCCTGGCTGTCCTGGAACACGCTCTGTAGACCAGGCCGGCCTCGAACTCCTGAGATCCTCCTGCCTCTGCCTCCTGAGCAAGCTGTGATGGTGAAGCTGCTGTGGGGTGGATAGGAACGGTGACATGCATTGCTTTCTGTGTGCAAGGAGCACCTGGGAAAGAGCCCCTGTGAGGAACTCCGCGCAGCGTGGAGCCCATTTTACAGATGAGGAAATTGGGGCTCAGCTATAGTTTGCCCAAAGTCATAGTGAGTATGTGGCAGGCCTGGAGTTGAGCCTAGCTGCCCCTGCCAGTGCCCCTGATTCTGTGAGAAGGGAAAGAGTACTCCTAGGACCTCAGGGGTCCTGGGCATAGCGGACAGATGCCCAGGTTTCCGAGTTGGTGCCCCACTAGAATGTGGCCCAGGAGTCTATAAAAGGCAGGTTGTAGCTGGGTGAGGTGTCACATACTTGTAATCCCAGCACTCAGGAGGCAGAGGCAGGAGGATTGCTCCGGGTTCAAGGCCTACAGAGTGAGCTCCAGGCCAGCTGACGCTGCATATTCAAGACGCAGTTTCCAAACAGCAGAAAGAGAAAGGGCAGATGAAGAGCAGCTTGAGGCCCAGCAGCAGCAGCACAGCCATGTCGGCACTGTGTGAGAGGCCAGAGCCCAGCGGGCCTTTAGTGCTCTGACCCTGATACTTCCTTTGTTTCGAAACTTCTAGACTCGGCCTCCAGTGGGCATGTGGTGGGATGGGCTGCAGGTGAGATGAGGGGAACAAAAGATGAAGGGATCCCCTCAGGGCTTGTATGTTTGCAAAGGGTGGAGTCTGGCTCAATGCACCTGGTCACTGTTTAATTTGGTCTAGACTCTAATGGTTCCCGACCCGTAGGTCACAACTCCTTTGGGTGGAATGACCTTTTCACAGGGGTCTCAGTACCATCAGAAAATGCAGATACGTCGTACATCACAATTCGCAACAGTAGCAAAACGACAGTTATGAAGCAGCAGTGAAAATAATTTTGCAGTTGGGGGGTCACCAAACATGAGGAACTGCATTAAAGGGTCGCAGTGTGAGGAAGGTTGAGAACCACTGCTCTAGAGAGTCTTTAGGCTTCTTTCTCTCTCTACCCTCAGAGCTTCACGGCACATGCCCTGCTGTGGCTGGCAGTAACTGCAAAATCCCCGCTCCCCAAAGCAAGTTTACCAGGCACCCTCCATGTGGTACATCCTGCTTGATGGACACACAAGATCTAGTTAAAAGGTTGAAACTTTCTCCCTTCTCCTCCTGTCAGCCGGCCATCAGAGACAGCCTAATTGTTAGCCTGTACTCCAGGCTACTCATCAACTCATGAGGTGAGAGCCCTCCCCATTCTCTTGGAAACCTAGAAAGAGGTCCCCACTTAGTCACATGGGCCTGAAAGTTCTTCAGAGTCCTGTTGCTATGGAACAATCCTCTTGTACACTGTAAAGATTTGTCACTTGAATTAGTTTAATAAAACACTGATTGGCCAGTAGCCAGGCTGGAAGTACAGGTGGGAGACCAAACTAAGAAAGCTGGGAGGAGGAAGGGGTGGGGTCAGGAGTCGCCAGCCAGATGCTGAGGAAGCAAGATAAGAATGCCGTACTGAGAAAAGGTACCAAGCCACGTGACTAAACATAGATAAGAATTATGGGTTAATTTACATGTAAGAGCTAGTTAGTAATAAGCCTGAGCTGCTGGCTGAGCATTTATAATTAATATAAACCTCTGTATAGAATTTGGGGAAGTGGCCGCTGGGTATTTGGGAGTTGCTGGTGGGACACCCTGTGTTGTCTTTCTGTGGCATTAAGAACTTTCCCAATAAATCTCTTACCCAAGAAGATGGTCTAGCTCGGAAGCCTGAGACCTTTCAGTCACTATCTTGAAGGTCTTGATGATTTTGGTGATGAGGCCTTCCCTACATGGTGGCTGATCTTGGTTGTCAACTTGACTGACACACCTGGGATGAGAAACCTCAGCTGAAGAGTTGCCTCTATCAAGCTGGCCTATGTGACTGTGGAGGACTTTCTCGATTGCTCATGGATGGAGGCGGGCCCAGCCTACTGTAGGTGGTACCATTCGAAGGGAAGTGGGCCTGGCCTGTCGAAGGAAGGGGCCAAACAAGCTGAGGACGCAATCCAGTAAGCAGAGCTCCTCCTCCGCGGTCCTGCGTTGGCTCCCGCCCTGACTTCACTGAATGATGGACGCACTGAGATGTGGGGGTGTCAGCCACATAAGCCCTTTTCTCCCCCAGGCTGCTTTTGGTTATGGTGTTTATCACAGCCACGAAACCACAGCAGGACACCTAGATTTTTATTTTATACTGGACCCTGAAAATCTGGTAGTTTATTTATGTGGCTGCTGGGCTCTGGGGCAGGAGGCAGCTACTCCAGACCTGCAGTGGCTCTGGGATTTGTCAGAGGCTTGTCAATCCCATGATCCCGTCCTTTAGGCTAATGGCTGAGTCACCAACAGACAGGAAGGAAGCTAGCCGGAGCCCCGCCAGGCAGGTCTGCCTGTTACTGCGAATCTCTTCAAGACTGTACAGATGCAAGGGAGGAGCCTGGCTAGAGAAATTCAGGGGATCGAACTGGAAGCCACCATGATTCGAGGAGACTTAAGCTTGGTGTCGGAAGGTTTTCCTGATAGGCAAAATGTAATCATAATATGCGAAATATACCCCAATAAAGCCGTTAAAATGCAACTGTGATATGGGCAGGTGAGAGACAGCATTTCTTGTGTGCAAATAGCTGTCCTTCATGGGAACACAGGCAATAGCAGATCGGTGAAGAATGGTCCACAGGACAGTCAAGCCTGTCTCCACCACTTATTGGCTGTGTGACTCAGGGCCAGTTGCTTGGCCTCTCTGAACTTCCATTTTATCACCTGGAAAGTGAGGATAAAAATATCCACTTCCCTGGGTTAGTGTGAGGATTAAGTTTACATACATAAAACATGCTGAGTAGAACCTGACGTAAATGAAGTACCATGTAGAGATATTAGTCATTTTATCTAATCCTCAGCACAAGTCTACAGTATAGGCATGTTGCAGGATTCCCATTTAACAGACATGTAAACTAAGACTTGGAAGAGGTAAGTGGCTTGTTGATCACAACACTGTTAAGTGGTGGAGCTTCTGGAAGGTTGTGCCCTAACAGCTAGGTTAGACTTCATGGCCATTATTCCTAGAACTTCAACTGAAGTGGGTGTCTAGCCATTGTTTTCTAAGCTTTTGAGAAAAAAGCATCAGGTATATTTCACTCCGAGCCTTCTGAATCAATCCCGTTTGCTCCCTCCCCTCCTCCTCCTCCTCCTCCGCAGGCTCGGTCCAAGCTCTAGTCTCTCTGGCCTCTGAACTCCCCCCGCCCCCCATGCTAATCCCAGCCCCTCACATCTGCACAGCATTCCAGTGTCCTGTTTTCACTTTCAGTGGTTCATTGGTTTGTGGCTGACTTTCTGGCACAGAGCCCAGGGTGCCAGTTCTCCAGACAGATCCCAACCAGTCAGGGCTGCTTGCCCCCGGGGACCATGGGGCCACATGGGAAGGGGCTGTGCAGTCTAAACACCGGGAACTTGGGGTTGTTGCTGTCTGGGTGTGTCTGGAGCCAGTCACCAAGTGTGGTGAAAGAGGCAAGGCTACACAACCCCCCTCTCTGACTTAACACGGCCCATGTGAGAGTCAGTCTCCCCACTCTGGAGGAATCGGAAGAAGGCTGCCCACCATGCTCTAGGAGCCTCTGTGGTCCATTATACGCACAGAGGGCTAGGCCTTACAGCCTCTCTCTGCCGAAGGGTCTGCTGCCAGATTCCAACAGGAGCTCTGTGCAGAGTCACTATAGGAAATACAGAAGGCAGGCTGAGGTTGTAGCTCCGTTGGTAGCATGGTTGTTAAATATGAAGGACAGTTTGCATTTCATCCTCAGCATCACGTGTGGTGGACAGCCAGAGCTGTTACACGGAGAAACCCTGTCTTAAAAAACAAGCAAACAGAGCCGGGCGGTGGTGGCGCACGCCTTTAATCCCAGCACTCGGGAGGCAGAGGCAGGCGGATCTCTGTGAGTTCGAGGCCAGCCTGGGCTACCAAGTGAGTCCCAGGAAAGGCGCAAAGCTACACAGAGAAACCCTGTCTCGAAAAAACCAAAAAAAAAAAAAAAAAAAAAAACAAGCAAGCAAACAAAGACTAGAGAGCTAAAGAGACAGAAATAGAAAAATAGATTTTTTTTTTCCCTGAGGCAGGTTTCTCTGTGTAACTTTGCGCCTTTCCTGGATCTTGCTCTGTAGACCAGGCTGGCCTCGAACTCACAGAGATCCACTTGGCTCTGCCTTCCGAGTGCTGGGATTAAAGGCGTGCGCCACCACCGCCAGGCTGAAAAATAGATTTTATACTAAACAGATGGTCTATACCCAGCATTAGCCTGTGGTTAGTGGTTCAAAGGAGAGGAAAGGCGACTGTCCTCTGTCCCAGTGGCTAGGTACCTCGTAAGTTCCTTCGTGTGTGTGCATACTGCACACTGAACATGACTCTATAGTGTTGCCCTTGAGGAAGCCAGTATTTTATCAGTTCTCACAACAGTGGGGTTGTGGTCTCTTCCATCGGCAGGGGAGGAAAGAGCTGTGTATATTCAGCAGCAGCGCTGTTACCTCCTGGGTGCGTGGAGAGAGACTTTACAAACTGGGCTGCGTGTGGTGGTGAATTTGGGAGGTAGAAGCAGAAGGATCAGGAGTTTAAGGAATTTGAGGCTAGCCTAGGCTACATAAAATCCTGTCTCAAAAAACAAAAGACAAACAAATGCAAAAGCAGAAAAAAAAACCCACTGATTTTAATTATTCACAACTTTCTAGACTTTATCTTAGATGAAGTAGTTTTGCTGTTGTTGTTATTGTTTTTTTTTTTTTTCCGGCTGGGGATGGAATGGACAATCTTGGGTGTGTTAAACATGTTCTCTTCCCCACTGGGCTATCTTCCCAGCTTATAGAAGCTTAAAAAAAAAAAAAACAAACTTTG